TATATATATAGAAATGTGTTTGCATGTCGGCCAAGAAAGAGGTGAAAACAAAAGATGAATAGAAAAAAATAAATCGTTCATCTCATAAAGTCCCATATCGTAAAAACAAAACTAGCACTAAAATTTTCTAACATTTTTAAGTTATAAGCATTCATCTGAATTCATTGCAAGAATGGATATTGTTTTATCATTACAACATATCTTTAACCACATATCCATTGTTCAAATCTATAATAGGCTCACAATTTTCATAGCTAACAACAAATTTCTAATCGATATGATTGTGTAAAACATATATATGATTTCAGCACAATATAACAAAAAAAAAAGGCTATAGCACAAAAAGTCTAAAGGATGAAATTTCCAAATAAAGGAGATTAAAAGCTCATTTGGACAAGGAAAAAGCCTAGTTGGACACCATCTTATAACTTCAAAAGCAATTCGATCTACAATTACTTTTATCACGTTAAAAAACTTCCATAATCAGAAGCATTATTTACAAGCATTTATAGATAGTAATTATTACACTGATCCAAATTTTGACAGCAATTATTTAAAGAAAGGAGGCAACTTACGACAATTTGGATGATAAGTTTTGCGATAATTACCTAATTATGTAAAATTATTAGGCCAACTCCTGAGATTATTAAAATGAGATTGAATTTGATGAGAAGTTATCACTCGATTAGCTTTGTGATGGAATGTACAGGAACAATAAATACAATAAAAAACATATTCCTGAATACATAAGATTATACAGAACATATACAAATATTATCGAGAAGATATAAGATAATCAACTCTATCGAGATATGCAATCACTTAGCTACATATTTCTTGAATCCTTGTGTCCGATGATAACAAAAAAACTACTGTTAGAAACAAAAAGTCATGCTAAGTTTGGTTGACAATACGGGAAATAAGGAAACATGTAATAAACCTAAATTTATAATGAGGCTAGAATTTATTGATATAATTTAGAAAGCTTTGGTAGACTGATTGCTTTCAAATTTTCAAAAGAAATGTATTCAGTTTAGTTTTTTATAAATTATTTTATTATATTTATGAAATTTCTACATCTTCAATCTAATTAATAATTTATATCGTTTACTCATTTTACATGAATATTGAGCTCCAAACTTAGAAAACATGGTTATTTATCTTGGTCAAACTACGCCGAGTAGATGCAAATGATATTAGAGTTTGATTGAGTAAACTTTTACCAAGAGAACAAGCCATTTGAATTATCAAAGGCTAAAAAATCTAATATCTGTTTGATTCAACTTTTATCTAAAAAATGGTTAAGCTCATTATTGTTTAAAAATAGGTTAAAAATATCATTTCTATGTACTTGATCATTTTTAGCTTATAATAATAACTCATAATCCAAAAAACTTACGTTTACTTTGTAGATAACCTTAAAAGAAAAAATGTTATAATTGTTGAACTACAGAAGCATTAAGCAGATAAATTTTTAAATGTATGATGATGAAAATGCTCTTAAACTTGATCATAGCAGTTTAGAGAGTGAAACTTACATAAAGGAGGCTATTTCACATTTCCACTAGTCAAGAGGCAACATAGCATGCAATTGGTAAACTTAAATTAAGTTTTTAATGATATTTAAATTAATTATTTGTAAAAATCATAACTTATTTTACATATTTTGTAGGTAGATTAAGTGTGTATTTGGGGCAGCTTGTGCATTTTGGGATAAGTTGCTTATCCTGAAATGCGGCCCGCGAGGTTCGACCCGCGGCCTACGTTTAGTGTAAATAACACTTTTTCGGATAAGCTGGCAAAATGCACGAACCAAACGGTACGGGCGGCGTTTTGCCCCAAACAGGCCCTAAGAGAACAATAATACTACAAATGAGCTGCTTGAATGCGTTGAATTGAATTTTCAAGAAGACAGCATTTAGGGAGCCAACTTTTAGAAAGGCTATTTTTGCGAAGACAATTTAGGAATGGATTTTAAATATATTTCATCCGATTTTGGGAAAACAGCTTACAAATAATGTATTCTTCCCAAAAATTGTCTATTATATATATATATATATATAGTTTCAAACAAAAAACAACTATATTATTCATACTTTTTTTACGCTTGAAACTATATATAAAATAGAACAAATAAAATAATGACTATGTTGAATCATGCATATTTTGATTTATGAGCACTTTATCGGTATTAAAAAATGTTCACAGTAACTTACAATATGCTTATACAATGATACATCAAATATTATTTCATTCTATTCATATTTACTAGCATATCATTTTTGGTTGATAACTTTCATTTTCATTTCATTTTTAGGGAATCAACCTTCTAAAAAAAGAAGATACAAGGATATTTCAAAAACATCTAAATTTTGATTATGGCTACAGAAAGAAATCAGTAATTTAAATATTGAGGGTGCTCACATTTAAAATTATTGAAGATATTAATTTTGCATACTCTATACTTCATCATATAATTCTATTTATATTTTGATGTATATTTGTAGTATTACATTATTATTTCGTCATTTAGGTCATATATATAGATAAGTTTGAGATTTATTACAAGATACGTTTCAACTCTCAATTCAACCAGTGCCAAACGATTGAACATAGAACCTTCTCCAATTCCATGCCCATGCCCAGTACGGCTTTGACAAGTATGGTATTTATATACCAACATGTTTTTAATATCAAACTAAACAAGCACTATCATATGCCTCAACACAAGATTAAAAATATTGCAATAAAATTTCAACATATTTTATCCAAGGAGAAAAATCAGTTGTATTTATCCACCAAAAAAAAAAAAACATATTAGCTTTAACTGTACTCATATTTTACAGTAAATTTATAAAGTAATAATTTAAGATATTCATATTCACCAATGATAAAAGACATATACATTACTTTATTAATGAAGGAATTAAGAAAGACAAGCCAAAAATATATTATTTTAAATTAAATGTGCCTTGGAATACCTGTAATCAATGGCTAGTACTCCCAAGATCAAAGTCCATGGTGTAATCGTACTCAATGGTTGGAATTACTGAGGCCATGAACTTCAGAAATAGGAAAAGGTACCTAGTGGCATGATATAAAAAAATATAATTAGTAATCATAAAACATAAACTTCCTACTAAAATTTATCACACAGGATCAACCTTCCTAACTTTTCAAGTTAATTGCAAACTGAACTTATAACCGAAGCTAAATTTTTTAGAAAATTACAACATTCAGGGTAGGAGTCAACAAAAATTGGAAATATAGAGCATGATAATGAAATAAATTACTTATCAACTTCGGGTTCAACTCCACGTGACATTAGCACATCAATAATCTTTTTCATCACAGCTCCGTGCCGACAAGGATGAACGGATGCGTGCTTTCCCGCCACATGTGGATGATCCTCAATGGTCACCTGCATGTTTTTTTATTCAATTATTTGAATTAAAATTTAGGGGCATTTACATATATAACATCCAATTCCTATGTATTTACATATCGAACACCAAAACTTTGCTTTTTTACATTTATATGACCCAGATCTTTAATATCACATAAAAAATATCATTATTTTAAATTGCAAAAAATAAAATACACCATTCTATGCATAGGTCAGGTAGTGTGCATGTAAAAATTGCAGGTTTTAAATGTATAAATATATAAGAATTCAGAGTTATGTATGCATATCTTCCGAAGTTTTATCATAGAAATCATAGGAAGGCATTGCTGCATGGAAATAAAACACATGATATATTGGATTAAATTTTGAATTATCAATTTATTTTAATTAAATATAAATCGTAGGCGAATCAAAACTAGACAAAAAAAAGGTGCACTTCTGACTATTATTGAATTATGATACGCAAGACATTGAAGGTCAAATTCATATGATTTTAGTGCAACATGATAGATGCAAAAAGAAAGTATCTTTTTGAATAATTCATATATATTGAGACAAGGCAGTTGTAAAACGAAAATTTATTAACTAAGATAATAAGAAACCACAATCTCAAGTTAAATGCCAAGGCTAATATTCATCTCAGGGAATTTGTAAGAATAACCGTTTTGTGTGCATGATCCTGGCTAACATCTTCAAGAACGAGCTCCGGTTTCAAAGGTACTCGTGACTGCAGAAAAAACATAGGAGTTAACGATTTTTTCACCAACTTTTTTAGTAACTACTGCACAAATAAAATGCTTTGTACAGGTAAATCATACTTTGACCTATCATAATATAACAGATTGCATCTAAAGCAAAACCAAATGGAAAGGGTTTAGAGTCTGTTTGGGCAACTTTTCTGCCTGCTTTGTGTTTAAGACCCCCAAACCCCAACAACAGCTCTGCTTGGGAGATTGCAAGAAATTTCTGTGGTGATAAGTTATTTTTGACAACATGACATATTGAAGTGTACTTACTGGTTGTATAAAAGCTGCAGTCTGATTTTCTAGAAAATACATATATTTATAATTTTTTTCGTAATTTTCTCAAAAATTAATTTTTCCATCACAACTTTACAATCAATTATACAAAAAACTACAGCTACCCGAAATAAACCCATCATTGACAACATCTACATTCAGTTCTTTGACCTCCAATGGCGTGAAAAAAAGGAAATTGACAATAAAATTAACTATTAACAAGCAAATGCACAAATATGTTCCCATTTCTTCACAAAGTTACATATAGGATTAATAACCATGTAGAGTTATGTTGCAACTTAAATAATTATGCTATTGTCAATATGACATTAATTTCTACGATTAAAAGTTTTGGTGTAAGGATCATTACAGATAAATAGCCAATCTTTTGAGTTGTTAATTTAAATCACAAAGAACAGGTGACAAATTCAGAAAGTAGATTTGCATAAAAATATGTTTCAAAAAACATTCCCAAGAATATATAAACTAAACCCCTTTTACGGTTCAAAAAACATTCCCAAGAATATATAAACTAAACCGCTTTTTACGTAGCAGCTCTTGCAGTCCCTTTCTTATGGAGCAAAGAGGAAGATCGAGAAGCAGAAAACTAACTCAAATAATCATTCGAGTAAGTAAAAATCTGATAAACAGTTTGCAGAAGCAAGAATATACTGTAAAACAACCTCGTCATATCCGGTAAGCCAAACACGAGGGGTTTGGTAATATTTATCGTACCTGCAGAAATTGAAAGCTAAACATAGTCAGACATACAACAAAACAGATGTATCTAACGGTAAAGAAATAACAGAAAACATAATATAAAAAAGCAGATAAAGATGTCACTACAACTAATTTTTAGGAGAAATAAAAAAGCAGATTAATGAAAAGAAGGAATTTAATTAGAAAATTGAAAAGTACTTGTATTCTTTCTTCTTATTTACCATTACTAAGAACAAAAATTAAAAAAACAAAAAACAAAGGGGGTGCTTGGTTGCGCCTCTTAACAGGATTTATTACCGGATTTACTAAATATAACAAATCACTAAAATGAAGAATATCCATAGATTTATGAATTTTTAGATTTAAGGTCCCAAATTTTGCCTTCGATTCAGTTTAAATCCGGATTTACGAAATCCAGAGATAAGATGGATATAGCAGATTTACAATTTACGGATTGACTAAATCCCGCTATCGCTAAATACCACTTGCAACCAAACAACCCAAAAATGATGCCTCTTTAAACAAATAGTTTCACAAACCATGAAACATATTTGGACAAAATCACTTCTATTGAAACTGAACAACGAGACTTTTGGACAAAATCACTTCTATTGAAACTGAACAACGGGATTTCCAATAAAACTGAGTAGTCTCCAATAAAACTGAGTAACGCAAAAGATCACCATCTCCCTCAACAACATAAAAAATAATTCAGAACTACTTGACAACACTTTTGTAACTTCAGATTTTGAATGTACCTTTCTTATACTCGAAATGCCTTAATACTTCTTTAAAAGTATTCCAATATTGTAAGATACCAAATGTTATAAATCCAAATTTAATTTTTTTTAAGAGGATAGAGGAAGTTAATAATTCTCAATATATGTGCAAACTATGAATCTGCCAAATGAATGCACTGTTGTATTAGTCAAAATCAATGGGCGAAAGGCCTGGCATAAGCAGAGCTTAGCTTCGTCTATAGTTTTTGGCGGAAAAAGTCATCAGGTCCGAGTGTCAGGCTTTTGTTGGAAGAAAAAATCACTAATATTAATTTTATCAATACTCCCAGTTCTTTATGATCACTTTATCAATTTTTTGCTGGATCTAGACTACTAACATAAGAAATTTCAAATTAGGAGCACGTTGCAAATATAGAAAGTTTTGTAGGTTTATTTCATGATATTCATCCTTTTCTTATAAAGAAGTGGTTCTATAGAGATCAATGCACATACTTTTTTATCCTCTAAAATGATATCAATGCTACTGGAGTTCAAATAATTGGTTAAGAAGGTACCTCAAAAGAAGAAATGAAAAAAAAAAATGGTATGTGCGCTGTGACAAAACTAATTCAGCAAAAACTTTGCAAAACTTTTAAGTTTCTCCAGGCACATAGATGGCCTTAAATGGACAAGCGACCCTTTGAGCAACATAATTATATGGTTGTTCCCTATAAACCACCAAAATCAAGTTGCCATAAAGGTAGAGACTATTCTTGATTGATAGCAACAGATAGAAGAAACATGAACGGACCTAACAAGCAACTGAGGAGAAAGTGTCAATAGCTTACAGCATAGACTTGTGTAAATCCTTTTATGAGCAGCCAAACTTTAAACCATATGATCAAAGCCATCAAGATAAATTCAATGGTAAACACCCAACAAGAAAAAATTGGTTTAACTCCAAAAGATAGAACAACCAAATCCCATGTACGTAGACAGAGGATGCAAAAAAATACTCTTCATCTATTGGACGTCAAGATGATGAAATCTTGGAGAGATAAAAAAGGCATCTCTAGGACAAAATACTACATACAAATGAGTTCTCTTGCTATAGATTTAGGATAAACCAAATACTTTTCTAATACTAAATGTGCCTATTATAAAAATGGATCACACTTTCTAGAAGGAAATATACTTCTTACGGGCGACCCCCAAACATTTAAAAAACTCCCTTTTCCCCCTTTTAAGCGCCGACAGTGGTAGCAAGCATGCTGATATAACCACAACATTATTTAACTTTTTAAAGAGATTGTTTCTAGTGGTAGCAAGCATGCTGATATAACCACAAAAATAACAACAACAAGCCTTTATCCCACCAAGTGGGGTCGGCTACATCAATCTTTTTTCTCCATTGTGTTCTATTGAGTGTCATATTTTCATTTAATTGTAATAAATTAAGATCATTTTTTATATATCCATGCCAAAGTCTTTTTAGGACTACCTCTAACTTTCTTAACATAAGTCAAATCTAAAGCATCTAGTCTCCTAACTAGATCATCAGATAGTTGATGTTTAATATGACCAAACGATCTAAGACGACTCTCTCTAACCTTGTCTGCCACTAGAGCCACTCCAATCCTTTCACGGAAGTATTTGTTTTGCATTTTATCTCTCCAAGTGTAAAGTCATTTATCCACCTAAGCATTCGTATCTCAGCAACACTTAACTGTTTTATGCTTCTCTTTTATAGGCCAACATTATGCGTCATTAAACAAGCATGTTGATAACGCTATAAAAACTGAAACTAAAATATTGATGAATTTAATGATCCATCTATATTTAAACATCGATTATTTATCATTCAAAAAATGACCCCATAATTTCATTCATTGTTGGAACTGTTAGCCAACACAAGAAAGCTAAAAAAATAATTAAAAAAAATAAAAAAAGAGCATCATAAGGTAGTTATGTGCATTAAAAAGTTCCTAGAGAAGGATCATTATATGCTAAAAGTAAACATTTAAATGTTAATGTTTTTTCTAATGTTAATTTGTTGAAGATAGCAATATCAAATTCAACATTCTCAATTTATTGGAAGTAATCTAGTTACATGGAAAATAAGTAAACTAGTGTAAAAAGATGCTTCGGCTCAAAACAGAGTCATGCCCCATTATGTATACAAAATGATGTGGGTGAAGACTAGTAAGATTTCTTGGTTTCACTATTACAAAATCAATAGTTCCGAAGTGTGATAATCGTGCTATCAACATTCCCAAAAACCATTTGTTCCATAAAAGAGGCAAAGATACTAAAGTAAATTGTCAATGTTTTCAACATGTTGTGCTTTCTAAGAAGATTATCACTCCTTATATCTCCAAAACAAAGCAAGTGAATGAGTGCTTAAACACACAACACATTGATTGAAAATAAAATGAAAAATTTAAAGAGGCCAAACACGCACCGAGAAAATATAAAGCAAGTGGATAATATTTCACATTTATGAATCTACTTAAAGAGGAATGTGCAATGTAGAAAACCTCATATTAGGAAGGTTCTCCATATATAATGAGTGATTTAGGTTTATTTTGTTGTACATTGGCATGTTGTACTCATTTCCTATTTTAAATGAGGGCTTTAATAGTGAATCATATACACAAATTTTCTCCTCCAACATTGCAAAGTTTTTCAATCATCACTGTCATCACTTGAAGAGAGAGACAAAACTTCATCATACTAATTTTAAATTTAACAAAATTTCCCTCTCCCCCAACACAAAATATATATAAGAGAGATAACATATTAATACATTATAATGTAATACAATGACATCCGAATATAGTAAAATTAATATATTATTCAAAGTAAGAAGTAACATGTTACAATCCAAATATAAAATAATAAAATAAGGCATAATAACATATAAATTTAAAATAAGTTTAGCATTAATAATTTATCTCCTATTCTTATGGTCCTCGATATAAATAAAAACATCACAAGTCACTAAAGTTAGAATTTTTAAATTCAATAATTTCATCGATCTTATCACTTAAAAAGGCCTTTACTGGAATCATCCACATAACATTTGTTTTCTCCTTCATTTTATTCTCAGTTACATTTACATCTATATTCTCTCATTTCGCCTACTCAATTTAAATATCAATCTTCAACTTATTTAATTAATATTGTTATTTATTAGATTTTAAATAATGACTATGATGCCATTAAAAACTTAGGGTCCCTTTGGGGCAGCTTATTTGGTGCGGTGCGTTTTCTGGCATGTTTGTTTAAACTGCATTTTGACAGCTTATGCATTTTCAAAACGCCGAAAACAGCGTTTTCACACCGCACCTATCTAGGTGTGGTGGCAACTTTCAGGCAACAGTCTAACTTTTCCAAAAAAATAAATATTTGTAATAGTCACCGCACCCATCTTACCAGCAGATTATTTTTAATCAGCTTATCAGCATATTATTCAATAAGCTGCAGCTACCCCAAACAGACCCTTAATTACAACCTCAATTATATATTATATGAGTACACAAGAAATATTTGTGTTATTTTATTTATATTTATTTTAAGAAAAATCCTAAATATAATTGTGCACGCCTCACTAGAATTGAGGTGAGGCACACATAAAGGCGGGCGTCGTAATATGTGAGGTTTAAGCCACATGTAGTATCCAAAGATGCATAAGTCTCATTGTGAATTTTCAAAAAAGGCTTGGGGGTGGGCCTCATAATGTGCAAGGTTAAACCATGATACATGGAAGTAAATAAAAAGACTAATACAAACAACTAGGATTGCAACATCAAGTTAATCAATATAAGTTTTTATTTCTATGGATAAACATACATGCAATGCTGGTGTTAGGATTTGATTGTCGTATCATCAAGCTCACATTATATCTTGTTATTTATTGCTAGGTCCATGTACAAAGGTATTAGCCAACTTCACTTAACTTTTGAGATCCAAATAGCTCTCATTCACATAAATCCCATGGCACTTTATAGCTTTAGACATTCATTACACAAGTAAAAGCCACAAAACATATAATTAAAAAATATATATCCAATATTATATTACAATTCTACATAAGAAACACATGTGATCCCTTACCAACTCCAAATCAGGTGCAGTTTCATATTTTATCATAATATAAAAAATAGGACCTTAAGTTTCCTTATTATTAAAAAATTTAAAATTTAATTATAACAAATGTAAATGTTATCTCATAGAAAGGTTTTACATTTATGTTTTATACTTTCACCTCGATGAGCATGATCATTGCATATAAGATAGAAATCCCAATAACAAAGATTTAAATAGCTTCAAAGCAATTGGAAAACTAAATTTTGATGTCTAAAATCAATCGAACTATAGCTTCGAAGCAATTGGAAATGAAAATTTGATGTCTAAAATCATGCAAACTATACTAACATCAATACATAAACAAGAAAAAATATCTCAATTATGTTGTAAAGAGCGTGTCAATTAAAAATGAAATGCTACAACAACTAAAACAAGATCCATAATAGGTGGTATGAGGTAGGCTTAATTGTTCCCATGATGTAGATAATGTCAAATTTTTAATTACTGTCAAACTAATAATAAGTTTATATACACAAAAAAGGTACTTACGTAATGCTGACATCATATGTGCGCGTTCTTAGAATATTGTCATCCTCAGGTTCATGTGTAACGAAATATGATGGCTGAAGAGTGGCCTGAGATTAAGATTACAAACAAGTTGCACATGAGAGTAGTGAAAAGTAGCAACGTAACATTTAGATGGTTAAATTTACAATTCATTATATGGTTCTTTACAGTCATTGTTATGATATTTAACTCATGTGATAGTTAATGGTCTTATTGTTATGTAAAGTACCAGACAATCTTTATTTTCAATTGTTAGGGACAACAAGAAGCTTCGGTCACCTACAATGTATTTGGTATTTAACTGATAAATTAATAATTATGTTATCTTATAAAAATAAAAACATAAAAAAGATCTGCGTTATCTTATCTTTGGGTAAGCTAATATAATAAAGGCCAAAGGATCATGTAAGTCAGATATCTTGGAATTTAAATAATGATGTTTTGAATGGCTCCCTCGCCCTTCTCATTATCTACCAAACTTCTCTTCCATCCCGCTCCTTTACTCTCGGTACAAGGCCTCTTCCTCTTTCTTCATCAATTTCTTTTAAGGATTTCGAAGCTATGCTGATATAGTTCTAGAAATCTGCATCAAAGCTTAAGCTTTGCATCAAGTGACTGACCACTATAATGACATGCATTACAATCAACATCTCCATCAAAGGATAGATAGAACTTATAATGACATGCATTTTTCGCTTCCCACTCACAAGTAACTAGCCACCACATTTGCTGCATCTTCTAAACCCTCCATGGCTCATAAAAATAATGGACCAAACCTAAGTCTACGCAAAAGCAAACACCTAAAACTAACCTAAAGCAAAAATATGGCACTATGTTTCATCCCACTAATTTGTTTCGGATTCCCATGAACATAAAACTGAAACTCCTCTAGCCTTATCTATTTTTTTTTCTTGCAACCCACCCCTCTCTTTGTGCACTGACCCAACATGATCCCTAGCCCATTTCTTATTCAATTTTCTAAGCTAAACAGATTCAAAAACAAAACAAAAAAAACGCCTAAGAAGCAATTACAATACTTTGAAAATAGAGTAAAGTAAAAGATAGAGGAAACTAACTGGGTCCGTCTCCACCAGATTTTCAGAGTGTTCATAGTCCGCCAAGTCAGGAATATCTTCCTCTTCCTCGCCTCCTAAATAAGAGGAGATAGGGTTAATACCCCTGCCCTTACTAATGTCCAGGGCCTCCATAGAAGGCAAGTTGTCCTCTTCAACGGAGTTCGTCTCTAGGAACATACAAAAGACTTTCAAATTAATACAGGATAAAAGTAGGTCTCAAAAACCTCCATCAGATTAGGATGAAAACTAAGCCATGAGTCACCTTTCGGCTTCCCATGAGTGGCAAGCCAGCCATCATTATCATCATTATCAATAAGAACCTCCCCTCCGGCAGCCTCGTACTCTTCTTCCACGGAAGCAGCCCTCCTAAAACAAGGCACTGAAAAAAAAAAATGTTCAATCAAACCAACCTAACTATCCAACCAAACTGGCGAATCGTCCCCATAAATCGCTACAGCGGTCAAACCATTTCTTGTGATTAGATACTGCTTGTCAGCTGGTAAGTAAGACTTCCTCTTGCTCGGCTCCCCCGCTTCCCTGTACAAATCCACAGACAGATGCAACATCAGATAAAATCAACGCCAGAATGCAAGAAGATGACCAGGTTTGGCGACATAGTTAGGGCTAACCAGGACCAGGTGGGGCACTTGGCAACAAGATTGTCACCTGCAATAACGAACTCGGAAACGCTGAGGACCCCCTTCTCCTTGAAGGCGGAGACGGTCCGCGGTGCGGTGATTCTCTCGACAGTGCCTTTGAAGGCCTCGTGGAGCTTTTGAGTCAGCACCATTTTCCTCCCTGCTCCTCAGAGACGACCGATTTCAAGAGAATCGCAGTCAAGATCGAATTTGACCTTCAGATTGAATGGAAATCAGAGAGATTTAGGGCGAGAAATCTGGTGGATGCTGTCCAACGCGACGATGCCCGTCTACATTTCTTGAATTCCACCCCAATTATAAAGATGATGACGTCCGGTTCTCCCTGCGTATAATCTGCACCATTTTCATTTATCGTAAATCTTTGCGTCAACATTTAGAGCATTTACGTACTTACCACATCCTTTTTTGTGTATTTGCATATCTGATCCTAAATTTTAGGAGGTGTTTCATAAATCTAGATTTAATTTCTGAATTAAATTTAGTAAATTACGTTGAAAATCAAATAAATTTTATATTTTACGTTAAATTCATGAATAAATACGATTAAAAATATGCTACCAAATGCCCCCTTAATACGAAAGATTTAGTTAGATATCACATTATTCTGAAGCATGAAAAGATTGGAATTGGGCATGAAAAGGTATGTTGCGTGAAGTAGTTGTCGGAAATGTAATTTCTTTTTTTTAATATTATTGCCGGTATTATGAATGTTTTCGGGAGCATTTACATAAATAACACCTAATTCTTTTGTGCTTGCATATCTAACACCTACATTTGTTTTTTTAGCCTTTGTACCACCCATATCTTTCTTATCACATTAAATTTGTCACAATTTTGATTTTTCAAAAGTGAAAATTTTTATTGTGAAATTGGTGGTCGGTTGGTTGGCAGCTTTGACGTAAGTTGTTGTGAAATTTAGGGCGAAAATAACGCAAATTTAGAAGAAAAATTTAGAGATTTAACGAGGTTCGACAAAGATGACTATATCCTCGGGAGCAGAGCGACGAATATACTATTTCAGAGGAGTTACATACCTATAGTGTTACACATCTATTTAGAGATAAAACCCACAGATAAATTTACAAACACGCCCTCGCTCCCCCAACCCACTAATCCAAGAGACACACATCTTCATTCCAGAAGACACAACTCTTCAAATCCAAGAGACTTCAAATTCCTGATGTATGAGTCATATCTAATAATTCTCCACCTTGGCGAATATTCAGTCTCATAGGAGAAAATCTCCACCTTGCGAATATCCAACCCCTTAGAAGAAAAAATTATGGAGTTTCTTACACCGAAGTAGGTTGGACAACAATGCGAACTAGCAACTGCAAATATTCAACAAGTTCAAGTAACTCAAGAACTTGTTGAAAATATCTGGCTTGATTAACTTTCCTGCTACATTTTCATCATATGATCCGACAAAGTGAA